AACGGACTTCCGGAACGGATTCCGTTCGACTTCCAAAGTACGTCTGTAGTCGATCTCACGCTTGAGTTGGGAGAACTCACATCCCAAGTTTTGGTTTGGGGGGGGGTAAGGTTTCCCACAGCCCAGGCAGTCAACTGGCTGCACCGTCTACTTACAATTTGCCGCTCATAGAAAGCCCCGCTGCTGTAGGTGGTAGCAATGGTGGAGGCACACTCCTCTAGGTACCACGGCTTGTTCCCGTTCTCCGTAGTGCTGCTGACGGAGATGGTGTAGATGCTGTTGGTGTATCCATCGCAAGAGCAGTGGTCCCCTTCTCTTCCGCCATTCCCAGAGGCCCAGACAAATATGGAACCCCTTCCTCTACGGCCCTGAGTATTTGGAGTGAGGAAATGGAAATGGAAAGCAATACGTTCATTGGCTGGCGCTGGCCTGGATTCCTACATCTCCACAAGATTTAAGTTTTGGAAGGATGCATCTTCCACAACTTCCTTCCGCAACTTCAGGGATCAGGAAATCACTGGCCCCATTCCCTCTTGTGGGTCCCACTGTTGCCACAAGGGGGGTCACTCTCAGTGAAAATAAGGGCTACTAACAACTGTCTGGGTTTTTTTTCTGCCTTTCAACATGGTTGCTTCAGTATGGTGTCGCCTCAAAACTTTGTCATGCAGGCTTGCAGCAGAGTATGTTTTCCACTGGCGGCTGGTTTTCTAGGACCTATACCTCAATGAACGAGGGATTCCCAAGCTCAGAGGGGTGTACTTGCCGCAGGCTGGGGGCAGTGGAGCTATCACCACCCTCCCAACAATTAACCCAAAGTTGACCACTTTGCAAACTCTGGGCTAGGGGCACAGCGTTCAGTGACTGTCTGAATAGACGCTCCAGGTGTTTTTGACTCCCATCATGGGTGTTATAGCACAAAACACCTGGAGGATACGAAGAACATGAACAGAAGAGCGTAAGAAGAGCCTGCTGGATCAAGTTAGCCCATCTAGACCAGCATCCTGCTCTCACAGTGATCATGCAAAGTCTTCAAGGAGGACTTGACCAAACAGAGCTCTGCCTTCCTGCGTATCCTAGAGGGATTCAGAGCTGTGCCCAGAGGTATTCAGAGGCATACCACCTCTGAAGGCTAGGCATCGTCATTGTGGTTGGTAGCTGCTGACTAGAGGTTGGAGAAGGCAGGAATCGGCTGGCAACCCCCTGCCAAAGCAGCCAGAAACATTAATATCCCTATGCGAAATGTGGACCGAAAACGAAAAACACCCAAGAAGAAGTTTATGCACAATGCGCTGCATTTTCCCCACACCTTTTTAATGCCTTGCTCAAATGCTTGCTTGGCCAGAGGGCCAGGCCCATCGACTGTCCGCCCATCGTCGTCAGGGCCCCAGCTCGCGCTGTAGATGTGGATGTATTCAGGTTTGGTGCCAATCGCCTTTGCTTCCACCACATCTGTCACGTCGCCGTCTAACATCCGAATGCCTAAAAGCACCCCCCCAAATTAAAAAAAAAAATGTATCAGGCGTTAGAGCTTCAAGGCCCCCCCCCTCTTTTTTTTCTTTTCCAGAAGAGCTGGAGGACTGCAATCAAAGGCTTTTGTTCTGAGGCATGAAAAGATGCTTTCAATCTTGAATGGCCCAAAACAATTGCAACTTGTGCTCTCAGTTTGCCAGCTTGTTTTGGATGCGCTCTCTCTCTCTCTCCCCCCCCCCTTCCAAAGTTGCTGATTCAACTGCATATTGGAAGTAGCTTTCTTGGCACAACAGGAAAAAGCAACACAAAGCCAGTGACGCAAGTGACTTTTCTTTCAAAACTATGAAAGCCACTTCCAGATGACACAGAACTCTTCTTCAAATGGCAACTACTACATTGCTGTCTTCTACACCCAAAATCGGCATTTCACCACTGCCTTCAACTGTCTGGGCTGGCAGTTCAGAAGCAAGCTGGAAAGTTTGCAGGCAGCCATGTAGGCAGGGTGGGTTGCTTTTACCATGGTTTAGTTCAACAAACCATGAGTTGCCACAAATACAAGCAACCAAAGCATGGCCGATTTCTCCAACACTTGGGTTTTGTTTTCTAGTTGCCTTGTTGCTCTGTAGCTTGGCAAGCATCTGGGATGGGGTAGCAAAACGAAGTACGGTTAAGCAAGGCTGTTGGGTTTGGCCCAACCACAGTGGACAAGCCATGGTTCATAAGCCAAATACTTCACATTGTGCTTTGTTGATGGAAAACAAAGTTGATGGGTTGGGTTCAGTCATTCAAAGAAACCACATTGAGGCTTAACAAACCATATGCAAACAAGGCCAGTAGTTGTATCTTTATCTGCAGGGTGCCTCCAGACTGTCACTATTTTGCAGGAGGGATTCAAGCACATACCGGAATTTTAGATTTGTACAGTTCAAGTGGATTAATGGGCTCTGCCTGGCACCTTAGTGCAAAAAATCCACTTTTTAAAAGAATCAGGCTTGGAGAGTGACAGGGAAAAGCATTGAAAAGTGCGGGATTAATGAATGTCCAAGGAGAAGATGTATAACCAGCCTGCCAACAAATAAGGATAAATGCAAGACGAATGTTCATTGTTGTACAACTGCCTGGCAAACAAATCAGAACGGATGCTTAATAAAGACCGGATATAATCCAATACCTGCATGAGCTTTGTGCAAGCAAATCAGGACGAATGCTCAATGAACAGGGCTTTAGGAGGGACCGCAATGTTCCTAGTTTTGGTCTACAGGCTGCAATAATAAAAGTCAACCAACCATAACTGAGTGAGCTAACAATGACCATTCCAGAGAAAATGCTAAGATAGAAACAGCCTGAAAATTGGACCAGATCCAGCTTCCACACAGTCTTCAGAAGGGCCCTCAGATAAAATGCTTCCCAGTAATAAGATTTCCAATTCTTGAATAACCACAGGCAAATCGCAATTTGGCCATATCTGCAACTTGAAAAGACGATGGCTTTGTGTCCCTAATTCTGGTATGCCTCAGGCAACGCCTTCAAAAATTAGAATAAACAAGAAATCGCTGGGGGTGGTGGGAAGATACATTCCTTCATTTAGGAAACCAAAAGATTTATGGAATTTCTACAGGGGGCTAAACCCATTTGTTAGTGAAATATGGGGGGTGGGGAGTGGGTCTCAATCTCCGAGGCTGACTTTGAACATGATCAAGCAATTAACTGGCCCTAGCTCTCCTGGATGAGGATGAGAAGGGGCACGATCCGCTGGGAAGCCTCCAGCGCAAGCCTGATCAAAATGAATGGCATTCATGCAGCAGCTGCTAGTGTTGGGTTGCACCCAAAATCTTACTTGCAGTTGAAAATATTTTTTCAAACAGACAGAAGTTCAGCCAAGCAAACAGGAAGACAAAATTACAAACAGCAGAGTGCCCAACCTCATATATATATATATATATATATATCTCATATGCACATGAGGCAATCTCAAGGTTTTGGGACATTTGACTCATCATTTTTGTAAAGAGGAAAGGTTGATTATTTATCACAGTATAGAGGGCTACTGTGGGTGGCAGAAAAGGAAGCGCAGTGGATTATAATTTTAGAGCTTAATATAGCAAGGCATGGGGCCTTCTTTTCTTTCTTTTGCTTTTTTCATGACGTATCCATTTGTTCATACGTTTTTACTTAAGAAAAACAAAAATCGAGAGACAGAAATAAAATTAAGGTTGCGGCTACGTGGTAGAAAGCAGTCAACTTAAATGGATTTCCTTTCTAACATTATTCTCTGCTCACAAAGATACCTCTTAAATATAATGGGAATGGAGCAAGGTTGTTTGGCAACAACCTCCCCTCGAGCTGAATTCTCAGAAGCATTTCCCAGCAACTTTATTGATACAAAAAGTTCATTGCCGGGCCTTGCCACCTAACAAGAACAGCTGGCCAAGGGAAAAAGGAGATACGAGAAAGATTGCACAAACTCGGGATGGAAAAATCTATAATCCGTGACTGCTACAACAGTTGGGAGATACACGTGATACGTTTGGGAGTTTAGTAGCATTCTGAATTCTACATTTTGCAATTTATTTATTTATTTTAAACAAGTTTCAAGGTCTCATGGTAACAAACATATACTAGAAAAACAGGTGGCAAAAATTCTAAAAGGGTAGGCTAAAAAGCAGGCATCCCCAAACTCGGCCCTCCAGCTGTTTTGGAACTACAACTCCTATCATCCCTAGCTAACAGGACCAGTGGCCAGGGATGATGGGAATTGTAGTCCCAAAACAGCTGAAGGGCCGAGTTTGGGGATGCCTGCTAAAAGGAAAGGTTAAATAGGTCTGCAGTGTGATCCAACTGGGTTCTCCTTATGTTCTTACAAACCCACATGTTTGACCAGAGAAAAAACAGAATAACAGAATCATAGAGTTGGAAGGGAGCATGGCATAGACTGGCTGAATGCGGAGGAGTGGTGGGGAAGAAGGCTCAGAGCCTGGGGATTGGTGGTGGGAGACGACGAGTGGTCAGAAGGAGAGGAGGAAGCTGATTGGGAGGAGGAGGTGTCAGAAGCTGAAGAGGAAACAGGGTTTAGTGAGCAGGAAGAGGCTGTGGCAGACAGCAGTCCAGATTGAGAGGCAGCAGCGAGGCGGGGAATACAAAGAGGCAGAGTGGGGGCAGGCTTCTGAAGAAGCCAGGGAATCTCCCCCTCTTGCTGGGACCAGGCCCCTTCCTCCCTGGTCTCCCAGAACACACAGAGAAATGAAGAAGGCAGAGCAAAGAGAGACAAGATGAAGGAGCTGAAGAAGGAACCAGGGGAGAAGCCTTAGGGTGCGGTGGGGAGGTGGGGACCTTCAGTCCTTACATTTGCCGCATTGGGGCAAGACCTACTGGGAAGAGTTGCAGTGATCACTAGGCCTGCACTGTTTATTTGAATAAAGAGTTGACGTCACCCATGCCGGTATTTTTTATTGCTGACCTACTCCTGACTCCGGCTCCGGACAAGACCATGCGGTTCATCTAGCACAATCCCCAGCGATGCAGGGATCTTTTGCCCAACGTGGGGCTCGAACCCACAACCTAGAGATTAAGGGCCTCCTGTTCTACAGGGTGAGCTATCCCTTTGCCTCTTTCAAAGCTCTTATTGTCATGTACAAATCTATAGCACAAGCTGGCTCTCAAAACAATTCCTCTCACATTTTATTTATTTATTAAATTTGTATTCGGCTGCTCATCACGAGTGAGCTCAGGGACAGATCATAGCAATATAAAAGGAAACATAAAAAGAGAATAAAACTCAAAACGTATCATTAACACATCCATCTGTCGTGAGTCCGCAAATATTCAGATGCAGGTCTACTCAAAGGCCTGGAGGAATCGAACTGTCTTAACCAGTGCCAGAAAACAGACATGAGTTGGCACCAGCAGGAGGTTGGGGAGGCAATTCGATTACCAGGCAGCCATTGCTGAGATGGTCCTGTGACAGGTCATAGATCTCCTCAGTTAGGCCACATATGCACTATGCTTTTAAAGCATCATCATACCACTTTAAGCAGCCATGGCTTCCCTCAAAGAATCTTGGGAACTGTAGTTTGCTAAGGGTGGTGACAGTTAATAGGAGACACATACTCTTCCCCTCACAGAGCTGCAATCCTACAGTTCACTAGGGAAAAAAGAGTGGCTGCTGGACCACTCTGAGAACTGTAGCTCTCCAACCATCAGCTGATTGTCTAGACAGGCAAAAGCGGGTCACCTGACCATCAGGTGATTAACAGGTGGCTGGCCCCACCCACCTATGAAACTTGGACCATGGTCCATGGGCGGGTGTGTAGGAGATAAGGACCCAACTGACCAGTCAGATCCAGTTCCCCACCCTGGTCCTAACAGGAGGCCAAAACAAAGAGGAGTGGTATTCGAATTTCCAGAGGGGAGAAAAGACACATGAGCAAGACAGAAGGAAATAACCAAATCAATCAATGTCTGATCCTTTCGCCAAAGCATTTATGCTATTACAAACCCAATTAAGCCAGACCATAAAAATTTCCACGCCAGATCAGCCCAAAGGTTCATTTAGTTAAGCTTTCTACTGCCAACATCTGCCAACCAAATGCTTCCAAAATGTTGATGGCCTCCTCTACTGTTTTTGACCTGAGAGGAGGAGTCCAATGCTGACATTAATGAGGGATTAAACATCTATTCTTCATGAAAGGCGATGCTAATGCACTCAGAGTTGAAACTGACTTGCAGATACACACCTGGGAGGATTTCAGTTACACTGGCCTTGAGTGTTTGGTGGATCAAGGCTGTGTTCACAGATCCAGACACCACTGATTGCTTTCATAGTTATTTACAGGAAGTCCCTTTAGAAAGAGAGAATCTTCATAACAGGATATGGATTTGGCACGGATGGGCTGGTGGTGCCATTATCTAGGACACTGTGAGCTTCAGCAAGCGGCTAGGAATGCCCACATAAGTTGCATTGCCAACAGGCTGTGTTTTTGCTTGTGGCAAATAGCAACTTGGGTGCTGGAGGTGGGAGATTTAGATCAGGAAAACAGCACAAGGGTAAGGGTTAACTCAACTATCTCCCAGCAGCATAGATGTGAACTTATTCAGGACAAATCCGTAGCTGTTTTAACTATTTTGAGACTTTTAGCAGAGTTTGGCTCAAATTTATCTTGGATTAAAAACAAAAGGAAGTTGCTTCAAGCATGAGGGCTCAAGTTGGGTAGAGAGAACTGGAACACGTGCACTGACTCCAAACCTATCTTCTCTTCTCTTGACTTGTGTGCTGAACTGCAGGGAGGATTCTAACTGCACTGGAAAGGGACACAGCTCAGTGGTATAGCATCTGCCTTGCGTGCAGCAGATCACAGATCCAGTCCCAGGCAGCTCCAGGTAAGGCTGGGAGTATCCCATCTGAAACCCCAGAGAGCCACTACCAGTCAGTGTAGAACAGCCTTCCTCAAGCTTAGCTCCTCAGATGTTGTTGGACTACAACTCCCATCATCCCTAGCTGGCAGGACCAGTGGTCAGGGATGATGGGAATTGTAGTCCAACAACATCTGGGGGCTCAAGCTTGAGAAAGGATGGTACAGGCAATTCTGAACTAGATAGTCGAAGTCTCAGTATAAGGCAGCTTCCTATGTACCTAATCCTATCTTCAATTGGAAACCCTGACTGCAGGTTTTTCCCAATCCTGGGAAGGATTCTAGCCATGATCCAGTTGAATATAGCTAGAATCCACATTCAGTCCTGCGAATTGAACCACGTTGAGTACTTTTTTTAAACAACCAAGCAGTGAAATAAATGACATTGAAAGATCAAGAAAGGATCTGGTGTACCCAGGGACATTAGGACCCTATTTTAAGGTAACACAATTTCTTTTGCATGTCTGGTGAAGGCTCAGTTCAAGTATTGCAGTTTAAAATTGGTCTGTGGCTAGCTGCCTTACCCCTCCCACACTCCCGACTTTTCTTTCTCTGAATCAACCTGCCAGTACCTGTGAATCAGGCTTATTAAAGTTAACAGGGGCACGCATAAAAGCAAGAAATGCATCACCTTAATTCCCAAGCACACAACATCCGACGCAGTTAGCAGAGCCAACAATCAAAGCCCGGAGTAGAAGCCCAAACTGCGGGGGGAATCTATAGGTTGTCAGAGTGAAGTAGAGGTTAAAGAGAGGAGATGGGAAGGAGAAGGAATAAATCAGCCACTTCCCACGGTGCGAGCAATAAAAGCTTCAGAAGGCGCACAGCTTTAAAGGAGGGAGTGTGAGGAAGAAAGATGGGCTGGCATCCCCTTTTTGTTACTGAGCGGTAAATGTACTGTGCCCTCGGCAGAAGCAAAAAGAAGAGGGAAGGAAATGCAAGGGCAATGAGAGATCGGAAAGTAAAAGAAAAAGAATTGGACTGTGGCAGATAGGACTCCCCATCAAGCTGAGCACAATCCTCACAAGGGCTACCAGACTGCCAGGTCTGTCCTGAAGTCTCCAAGTTTGTCTGGTCCCCTCCAGGTGAATCTGCTGGTGGCCAAGGGTGCCTTCAATTTATATATATATTAAGAAGGCGCTGTGCATCCAGCTTGCAAGCTTTAGCCCAGCAGGAGCTTGCTATAACTTACAGTGGTACCTCGGGTTACATACGCTTCAGGTTACATATGCTTCAGGTTACAGACTCCACTAACCCAGAAATAGTGCTTCAGGTTAAGAACTTTGCTTCAGGATGAGAACAGAAATCGTGCTCCGGCGGCACGGCAGCAGCAGGAGGCCCCATTAGCTAAAGTGGTGCTTCAGGTTAAGAACAGTGTCAGGTTAAGTACGGACCTCCGGAATGAATTAAGTACTTAACCTGAGGTACCACTGTATAGCATAGACACTTGGGCTGGGGTTGCCCTCTTGTGCTCACCTCTCCCAATTAACCCCCGTCTCCAGGGCCGATCCTGTAACATCACCAGGGGCCACCCTACGTCTCACGTTTCAGCCCCGCTATCTCAGGGTTGGTATGCTGCTGATCTGGCAACCCTAGTCCTTACCAGCTGTAGCTTTTAGCAATCTATTTAGATTCGCTTCTGGTGAATCCACAAAATGTACAATGCTCCCCATGCCCCCTAAAAAAAAAATCACTATTGGCTGGATAATTAACAAAATAATAATAAATGGCTGGGTAATTATTAGATTTTTAACAGGCTTCCCCAACCTAGAGGACTCTGCATGTTATGGGACTTAAACTCCCATCAGTTCCAGCCAGCACGGCCAATGGGCAGTGTCAGGGAACTGCCATCGGACGGAAGGGAGGTGAAAGGGCTCACACAGGTTGGGAGAGACGCAGCAGCTGAAGAGGAAACCAACAGGGAGGTGAAAGGGCTCACACAGGTTGGGAGAGACGCAGCAGCTGATGAGGGAACCAGCAGGGGAGAGGAGCTGAGCTGGAGGGATGGCTCAGAGACACTTCCAGCGAAAACAGTGGAGAGGTTTCAGGACCTCCTGTAAGAACACCCACTCCTCGCCGGAAACTGTCACGCAGAGATTCCAGAAGACGTGTTTCCGTTAAGGAGCTTTTATGTTGGAAGCGATTACGAAAGCAACCACTGTCGGAATCTGCTAGTGACTAGAGTAGCCATGTCTGAGGGGCTCTGTCACAGACAGAGGTTTGTGGACTTGAACAAACTCTGAGGGGATACGATTTTACGCACAAGCAGCTCATCATCCCATCACAGCATTCCGACAGTCTTTGAAAGCAGCTTGTGCAGGAGAAGGTATCATGAGCAACCCAGCCGGAACCGGAGAAGCAGGAGCTGGAGCGGGTCCAAGCCTGGAAGAAAGGTACCAGATGTTGGAGGTCCAGCTAGCGATGCAGACGGCGAGGCTTGAGGAGAGGAGGGCTCAGGATGCAGACAAAAGGGGGAAGCCACCCAGTTCGCCAGAAAGGTACCAGGATTGGTGCAGAAGTTTGGGGGGGAGCCCAAAAACTATCATGGTTTTCGGACAGAAATGCAATATGCCCTCAATCTGCAGTTTGATGAATTCCCTGACGAGGAATCACGAGTGGCTTTCGTGATTGAGCATCTTGAAAAGGGGGCGAGAGACTGGGTTAGACCCCTGATGGCAGCGAATAGTGACGTCTTAAAAGACACGATGAAGTTCTTTCGCGCCATGGATCTGATGTTTTCCAGCGATATTGAAAAGGGAGTGGTGCGCAGACAGTTAATGGGTTGCAAACAGGGGAGCCGATCTGTCCGTGAGTACTGGACTGAGTTCACCATGCTTGTTCACAGATTGGGGTGGGACTTATCGGCGGAACCCATTCAAATGCTCTTTGAAGAAGGGCTTTCTTCGGCTGTGAAAGACGAACTTTCCCGGGCGCCCAGGGCGGAGTCTATGGACCAGCTGACCAAATCAGCGCTGGCCATAGGAGCGCGCCAGGAGGCGAGAGCATTGGAGAGGCGGGAAGGGAAAGGGGAACGTTGGAAGGAGTTCCGCATTCCAGACATTCCAGAGCCAACTTTCCCACCGGCAGAGCCGATGGAAATCGGAACAGCGCGCGCGCGCAGTTTCAAAGCCCAGTGAGGGGGCAAAGAAGGAGGGAAAAGGCGCCCGGAAATGCTATCTCTGCCAACAGCCAGGTCA